AAGATATTCTGGGGCTGGGATATGGCTCAGCAGCTAAATAGTCTTGGTGCCATGCCTGACCAACTGAGTTGGATCCCCAGACTCACATGGTGTAACATAAGCTCTGATTCCCACAAGTTGTCTTCTGATAGCCAAATGCTATACACTCCCCTGCCACACACACATACACAAAATAAAGGTAATAAAAAAAGAAACATATATTCTGGACACCGGCCCTACAATTATTCTTACGTTGTGTTGAGTTCATCTTGATTACATGAGTTAAGAATGTCTAAGAACAAATCAAAGAATTCACAGGCAACTAACACGGGGAAGGAACCAAGGAGACATTGCAGGTGAATTGCTAAGAAGAGACTGCCATTTTGGAGAACTTCCCAGAGCATCAGAGCCAGGCACTACTAGGACTCCCGCAGAGTCTTCTGAGATGCACTGAGGTCAGGACACTGTGCAAATGCTCATCTCTGGGTGTCAAACTTTCCTTTCCAGACTATTCCTCTGTCTGTCCGTCTGTCTGTCTGTCTGTCAGTATCTCTCTCTTCCTGTCTTTCCCTCATTCCTTCTTTCCTTCCTTCCTTGCTTTCTTCCTTTAAGGTTATAACTCGTGTAATGCAGGCTCTCCAATGCGTTATGTAGATGAGAATGACTTTGAGCTACTGATCTTATCACCTCGACCTCCCAAGCATTGGGGTTACAAGCATGCTCCCCCACAAATCTGAACACACCTCTGTTCCAGGCAGCCAGGCCTGGGCTACCAGACTCATCACTGGAGGGAATGATGAGCCCTCGGTTATAGGTACTGCTTCCCCAACTTTGTCTCTCTGGACCTGTGATCATTGTGTTATTTCTGCCCTCAGTGTCAAGGTCTACAAGAAAAGTCCCCTGACAACTTTTTCTCAGCACACTAATTGTCCAAGTTAACTGAGTTTCCAGAGCCTGCCCCAGGATGCTGCCGGAAGTGACTGGAAGGAAAGTTGTCCTGGACTCCCTACAGGGGTTGGGGCCCAGGACACCGAGAGTTAAAATGGAAGGACTTGAGATGACGCACCCGACTCTGCCTTTGTTCCAGCAGCAACAGCAGAGCCCTGCGGGGGCTAGTGTCCAGAAGAAAAGTTCTGCATGCCAATACAATTCAGAGACCCCTTCTTTTAAAGTTCGAAGCTAGGTGTGGTGGCTCTTGCCTCTAATTCCAGAATCTGAGAGGCTGAGGCAGGAGAATTGCCAGAAAGTTAAGGCAAGCCTGGGTTACATGTAATGAGTTCCAGGCTAGCCTGGGAAAGAAAAGCAAAATAAGCAAACAAAAACACAAGAAACCCTCAAGGCTCATGGATCTATGCAGCAGAGGAGGCAGAAGGACTGTAGCCGGACGGGATGGGTGGCTCCAAGGAAACAGTGTCCTCCAGACACAACAGGACTGAGTCCGTGCAGCACACACACGGCCTGCATAGGTTCAACCAGACCTCATCTCAACACTGATAGGGAAAAGTGGACACAGACTCCCACCCCTAACCAATGAACTATCTATAACTGATACCTGTTGGCAAAGGAAAAATCAGTTTTCACCAATGGAGTCTCACTGGGTATACCAACCATACCCCAGGGCAGTCCACGTGCCCAGAAGTAGCTGGCTAACACAAAATAAATTCAATGGTATTTTTGTGAACTTTTTGTTTTGTTTTGCATTGTTTGGGGATTTTTTCCCTTGTATTATTGGTCTCTTGCTTGTGCTCATCTGCATGCACGCCACTCCTCACACATAGGTAAACACTGTACACACATGAAAACTGAAGAAAGAAAAAAGAAAGAGAATAAAGCACTCAGTGAAGCCTGTCGCAGGCTGTCCAGAACGTCAGGGGACTCAGAAAGAGTTCAGCACTGATGGGAAGAAAGGCAGCAACTCAGGCTCATCAGTCACAGTAGGCATGCTCAATATTCACTAGATTGCTGCCTGACATTATTCAAAACAGAAGATGCAGCTGGGAGGTGGTGGTGCACGCCTTTAATCACAGCACTCCGGATAGAGGCAGGCTGATCTCTGAGTTCAAGTCGAGCCTGGTCTACAGAATAACTTCCAGGACAGCCAGGTCCACACAGAGAAAACTTGTCTCAAAAAACAAAACAACCAAAGCAAACCAAATAAAAACTACACAAAAGAAACAACAGAACCCACATAAGAATATGACAAGTATGGAAGTCAATGATCCTGTGGAGAGAGGTGGCTCACTCACACAACAGAGATCTAGAAGAGGGTAGGTGTGAAGTGAGAACCCATCAGGAAAGTGGAACGGAATGGAGGGGCTTCTCAACACAAGGCTATGACCGCTTGTAGAGCAGGAGAGAAGAATATTTCAAAAGAGATACAGAAGCATCTTTGTTTGAGAACTGACGACATGCACACACAGAACGGGAGACAAAGGGGCTGAGAGCTGAGAGCTGAGCCGGGATCTGGCGGGCAGAACCACAGCGGGAATGAAATATTTATGGCACACACTAATCTTCATTGTTATGTATTCAGCTCCCCCAAATTGCACACAGCAGCTGTAGAGAAAAGGGGAGGCAATTATCTAATTTTTCCATGAGTGACATGCAATAGCAGTAAGGAAAGACTGTGAACACAGGAAAGATGGACCAGACCAAGCGAAATGACTCTGTAGAGAGAAAGGAAGACTGGGAGACACTGGCATGACAGGAAACTAAGAATGTTTATAAATGACCCCAAATCCAGTGAAAGAGCAAAACAGAAAGCTTTGCAGAAGCCGTCAGCTGGGTCTGGATGGGCACCCCTACCTGCAGTCTCCACTCGGACAATCAGCCCGTGGACTATCTTAAAATAGACGAAGTCTTTAATTTTTAAAATTGGTGGCCGGGTGGCAGTGGTGCACGCCTTTAATCCCAACACTCAGAGGCAGAGCCAGGTGGATCTCTGTGAGTTCGAGGCCAGCCTGGTCTACAGAGAGAGATCCAGGACAGGCACCAAAACTACACAGAGAAACCCTGTCTCGAAAAGCCCCCCCCCAAAAAAATGGTGTAGAAATATAGAAAGTATTAATGTTTCTCAAAAAAGCCTAAGCTTTCAACAGAATTATCTCCAGGTAATGGGCATCTCTGCCATAGTTGTGTGTACAAGAAAGGGCTCCCTTCAAAGCCCCCTAATTCCAATAAAATTTAATTATCTCAATTTTGATTCTGACAGCATTCACAGTTGGTATGCTTTCTGGTTTTGATTTATCAATTATTGAGAAATCATTTGAATGTGATTATGGAGTTAGCTATCATTCCTTATTACTATAGCAGGCATTTTTGCTCCTTCATGTTTTGAAGCTTTGCTGTTAGGATTATACTATAGGTTTATTTTAGTTTTCTAGATAGGATTTCAGTAGATAGTCCTACATGGCCTCAGTCTCACAGACATCCACCTGTCTCTGCCTCCCCATTGCCTGGAATAAGTGGCACGCCCAGCCAAGTTTATTTTCACTAGATGAATTGCCCTCTTTATTATCACTGGCAATGTTCTTTGTCCCTGAATCTGCCTTGATTTTTTTGTTTGTTTGTTTTATTTTGTTTTTCGAGACAGGGTTTCTCTGTGTAACAGTTCTGGCTGTCCTGGAACTCACTCTGTAGACCAGGCTATCCTTGAACTCACAGCGAGCCACCCAATCACCTGCCTCTGTCTCCTGAGTGCTGGGATTAAAGGTATGCACCACCACTGCCTGGCCTGCCTTGTTGATTAAGTCTTCTTTTGACTATTGTTAGGATGGTCACTTTAATCTGCTAGAGTACTTACCTTTAACATATTTTCTGTAGTTAACACGTGGTTGAGTCTGCTTGTTTTAAAACCTAATCTGACAATCTATACTTTATACTTTAGGTTGAGATCATTTATAATACATTTAATTCGATTAGTGGTATTACAAGGGTCCTCTATTCCCTTGACATTCGTTTTCTATCACGTTCTGGAATAAAAAGAAGTTTGTGTAAATATAAGAAACAACAAAAGAGATTTTGAAAGTTCGTTCGTGTCACCTTACAACAGAAGTAGGTTTATTTCTACAAAAGCGAAGTGAACATTTGTATGTGTTTAGGACACTCACGTGCTAGTCACTCACTCATCCTTCAACATGGGAGGTTCGACAGAACTGTCTAATGGACTGTTCTATCAATAGAAATCGATGTGGTCCTCAGTCACATTTTCCTATCTAGACAGCAGGGACAGTGAACCCAGGAAGGGTCCAGCACACATGGCTCTCTGAAGTCTCTGATGTAACCTGCCCATCCTCTCCACGTTTAAAACCAAACAATTCTGTAGTTCTGTCTTTTGAAATGTATCATAGTCCCTACCATCGCACAGAGAGGTGGAATCCTTCTGCAGTGGGACTCAGGGAAAGCGTAATCAAAGCAGTTATGTCTCGATCTGATTTTACTCCAATTCTGCACTTTCAACTTGGGTTCACCCGGGCGTTGGTGGCTCACAACTTTAACTCCAACACTCGGGTGGCAGCGGCAGGCAGATCTACGTGAGTTCGAGGACAGCCTGGTCTACAAAAGGAGTTCCAGGACAACCAGGGCTACACAAAGAAATCCTGTCTCAAAAAAAAAAACCAAACCTTTAGGCTCGTCTGTACATTCCATAGGAGCGAAAACACATTACCAGAAGAACCCGGAAGTACGTTTGGAGAACACCCGGAGCTTACGCATTAAGTGTGCAACCCGTGGGAACTCCTACAAACCACCGGGCGCAGCTCCCAGATGGGCTGCCCAAGCTGCATGCTGAGATTTCTCTAAGCGGTAGGGTTTCCCGGGATAAAGCCTCAAAAGACTCTATTTCCCAGGGCCCACCGCACCGGAAGTAACTGATGGTCTCGCTACTGCGGAAGCTCCTGGCTTTCTGGTGGGAGTAAGAAATTGCTGTTTGGCGTAATTCTCCACCGAGTAAGGCGGGAGACAGCGGGCTGGGTGTGGACGGTGGGGTGGGGTGGGTGGATCACCATCATGTGTGTGAGTGTGTAGAGACAGTGACGTGCGTGTGTGTACACCTCGAACACTCTGCGTTGTCTGGGTCACTGTGCTAGCCTCTCTCTGCTCCTGCTTTCTCTCACGGCCACAGGGGCTGAAGCAGAGGACCAGGCTTCAGTACCGAGAGGTCAGGGACGGAGTCTGAGGGAAGCTTTCCCTGAGGTCCAGACTTGAGCTCGGGGCGAGCATTTGAGGCCGGAAGCGCCCCCGAGGGTCGCCTAGGAGGGCAGCTGCTTGTTGAGTCCAGAACTTTCTGGGAGCTCTAGCCATCGTGGGTGTTGTGGGAAGTGAAGGAGAGTGCTCACTCGGATGCACAGCCTGGGATCTCCTGCTTGCTCGGGCTCCCGAGTCTGCCGCTATTCAAACGAGGGCCTGGAGAAGAGTGCCAACATTATTGCTACACATCTAAGATTCGAGAGTGAGTTTGCTCTTTCGTTCGGTGTGAGGAACGAGGTTGTAGTTTTAGAATATGGAATTGTCTCCCCGTCCTGTCCACTTTAATTCGAGGAGAGGTGTCTAGTCTTATTGCAACTTGATATGCCATGTTGGATTGATTTCCCCGGGAGGCCTTCCTTTTCTGAAGGGACAAGAGGAGTGGGTGGGAGGTTGGGACCAGGGACCCGCAGGGTAGGAGGGAGTGGAAACCGCGGTTGATATATGATATATGAGAGAAGAATTTTTTAAAAAAGAATATAGAACTGCTTACATGAAGGAGGACATGCCAATTGATAACTTCCCCATTTTGGTCCTTACACTATCCCTTCTCTTTCCACTTAATATTCACATAATTCTGTTAGAGATCACTAACATCTTCTCTGTACAAATCACTCCCTGATGTTATAGATGGGACCCTCCAGAGTTAACATTAGCGCTTTCAAACCCCTGAGTTCCTAAATTGCTGTTTTGATGACATCACACATTAAGTGGCCATTGATCTTTAAAGGCCTTCCTTTCAAAGCAGGGGAGAATTGGGGGGTGGTAGGTGATTTCTGTTCACTCATGAGGATTTGAGGAGTGGAAAAGTAATAGCACTAAATTTGGTATCTTTGAGAGCTAGTGATTTTCAGGGTGTCTGTGTGTGGAAACGGGTAATATTGGCCAGATCCAGACGAGCAGTGCTGTGGTTGAATGTGGGGATGTGGATCTGTGGTATCCGGGTTGGAGTCTTGATTCTGTCCTCTTAAGGCTATCTAGCCTTGTCATGTACCATAGGGTGACTGTTGTAAAGCCTGTTAGTGCAATGCCAGCTGTATAATAAGGGCCTGATATGTTTTGGTTGTTGCTTTATGTGATTATTTTGGGTTTTCTGTAGTAAAAGGGAGTGTTAGAAATAACATAATTACTGGTTGTATTTTTAAAACAATGATCAAAAAAAAAAAAAAAAAAAAGGCTTTCTGGTATACCCTTGAATCTCAGCACTTGAGAAGCCAAAGCAGCAGGACCTCTGTGAGTTCACAGTCAATTTGGTCTACATAGCAAGTTCCAAGCTAGCAGGGCTACACAGTGAGACCTTGTCTCAAAAATAAGAAGTACTACACAGAGAAACCCTGTCTCAAAAAACCAAAAAAAAAAAAAAAAAAAAAAGAAGTAAAAGAAAGTGAATGTACTGATGTACAGAAGAATTCTTTAAATTTTCAGATTAAATGTTTTGAATTTTGTGGCAATGATACATACTTTGGAGTCTTTATGTCCTTTGGGATGTCTAAATCTACCTGTCACAATTTTTGGTGAGCACACTTAACGTCTACTCTCTGAGTCTTTCAGAACCATTAATCATAGTCACTGTGCTGCATGATGTATCTGGAACTTGGGTTGTGGAGCTGTACTTGAGTAGTCCTTGATCAGCATCTTCCCAACTCCCTTATGGATCTACATTTCCCACTCTCAACCACGATGTTGCACATCCCGCCTCAGCCACTCACACCTCCATTACCTCAGCCACTCACACTCCATTACCTCAGCCACTCACACCTCCATTACCTCAGCCACTCACACTCCATTACCTCAGCCACTCACACTCCATTACCTCAGCCACTCACACCTCCCTTACCTCAGCCACTCACACCCTCCCTTACCTCAGCCACTCACACCTCCATTACCTCAGCCACTCACACCTCCCTTACCTCAGCCACTCACACCTCCCTTACCTCAGCCACTCACACCTCCATTACCTCAGCCACTCACACCTCCATTACCTCAGCCACTCACACCTCCATTAGCTCAGCCACTCACACCCCAATTACCTCAGCCACTCACACCTCCATTACCTCAGCCACTCACACCTCCTTTACCTCAGCCACTCACACCTCCTTTACCTCAGCCACTCACACCTCCATTACCTCAGCCACTCACACCTCCTTTACCTCAGCCACTCACACCTCTGTTACCTCAGCCACTCACACCTCCATTACCTCAGCCACTCACACCTCCATTACCTCAGCTACTCACACCTCCATTACCTCAGCCACTCACACCCCATTACCTCAGCCATTCACACCCCCATTACTTCAGCCACTCACACCCCCATTACCTCAGCCACTCACACCACTCACACTCCATTACCTCAGCCACTCACACCTCCATTACCTCAACCACTCACACTCCCATTACCTCAACCACTCACACTCCATTACCTCAGCCACTCACACCTCCATTACCTCAGCCACTCACACCCCCATTACCTCAGCCACTCACACCTCCATTACCTCAGCCACTCACACCTCCATTACCTCAGCCACTCACACCTCCATTACCTCAGCCACTCACACCCCCCTTACCTCAGCCATGCACACCCCCCTTACCTCAGCCACTCACACCTCCATTACCTCAGCCACTCACACCTCCATTACCTCAGCCACTCACACCCCCCATTACCCACCATTTAACTTATTCTTGTGATAGAACATTTTCAGATTCAGCATGAGTGAGATGGTAGATATGTGTCTTTTTGTTAAAGACTAATTATTTTTCTAAGTTCTGTGTGTGGGGTTATACGTACATGAGCACAGGTACCCTCAGAGACCAGATGAATAGGATCCACTAGAGCTGGAGTTCCAGGCATTGTGAGCTGTCAGGGAATTGAACTCCTGACCCTGGAAAAGCCATACCAGCTCTTAGCCTCTGAGCCATCTCTCCAGCCCTACCATTTGTCTTTTTGTCTTTAGCTTATTTCCCTTGTTTTCCTCCATGTTCACCCATATTGTAGTAAACGGTTGGGTATTGTTGCACTGTGTCTGTGAACCTCATTCTGGATTTGCTTTGTCCATTCATCCTTTGGTAGGATGGCATATCACAGATATGTAAATTATTCTGGAATAAATGTGAGAGTGTAAATGTCTCTTTGAGGTACTGATTTGATTTCCCTTGTATGTCTCTACTCAGTAATATGAAGGATGGATCATGTCACAGTTCTAATTATAATTGTTTGATGATCCACAGTATTGTTTTCTATAATGACTGTATTAATTTACATTCCCTCCAGTAATGTGCTTTTTCCACCACATCCCCCCCCCCCCGTTATCTTTTCTTTCTAATAATGGACACTTCTTTTAAAAGATTTATTTATTTCATTTTTTAATACTTGTGAGTGTTTTGCCTGAATGTCTGTATGTGCACCATGTGCATGTCTGCTACCCAAGGAGACCAGAAGAGGATGTTAAATCCCCTGTAATGACAGTTATGAGCCACCATGTGGGTGCTGGGAATTGAACCCAGGTCCTCTGCAAGAGCAACAAGTCTTCTAAACCACTGGCCCTCTATCTCTCCAGCCCCCTGGTAATTGACTGTCTTACAAGGCGTGAGGAGGCCTCTCATTGTGATTTTAATGTGTATCTCTCCTATGCTTATTTTTCATGTACCTCTAATAGGCCACATTGATGTTCCATGTGGGGAAATGTCTATTTCCGTGTTCTCCTCTTTCTTAATTAGCGTGTGTCCTTGTCCCTGAATTTTCTGCGTTCCTTTGCTGTGAAGGAGTTTAGATGTTAACTCCTTGTCAGAGGTACAGTTTGCAAATATTCTCTCCCATTCTCTACACTATCCCTCTACTCCTGGTTGTTTCCTCTGATGTGTAAAGTTTTTAGTTTGATTTGCCCATTTTTCTTTTGTTGCTTGTGTTTTTACAGTGCTACCCAAAACGTCCAGTGTCATGGAGGCTTTCCTGTATATTTTTTTCTAGTAGTGTCAGTTTCAGTTCTTAAATTTTAATCTGTTTTGAGTTGACTTTGCATGTGGTGTGACTGAAGGTCTAGTGTCATTCTCCTGAATGTTAATATTCAAGTTTTGCCAGTGCCACTGATTACAGAGGCTAGCCTGGGACTTTAAGCAAGCCTCCTTCTTCTGTGTGCCCAGTGCTGGAAATATAGACCTATGTCACCACCACTAGCAGGACTTCCTATTGGCCTTCAGGATCACAAGCTTCATGAAACATAGACAGTTGTAAATATCATGAGGTCACACACTGAACTATCACAGACATGTATAAATGTGGGCTGGGGTGATGGCTCAATGGGTACAGTGCTTGCAAGCATGAAACTCTGCAATGCCAGATGCAGAATTGCATGTCTCTAATCCCAGCCCTACTACTGCAAGATGGGAGGGAGAGATAAGAGAATCCCTGAAAGGCTAGCTAGCCTGGTGTATCCAGAGTCAAGAGGGAAGGAAGAATTAAGAAAGAAGGAAAATTTGTACGTGAATTTTGTGGGGAGACAAAAATGTTTAATTTTATAAGATTATCAAATATGTACTTGGGAGTTGGGCATGGTGGTGCATGCCTGTAATCTCAGCATGGGAAATGGAGGAAGCAAACAGTTTCAAAGTGTATTAAACCAAGGCTTAGGCCTGTTGATTTAGAGCACTGGTTCCCCATTTGGTGATGGCTGCATTGTAGGGAGGCCAACATTGTAGGGAGTTCTGAGGATGTGTGTGCTTCTCGGATCTTGTGAGTAGAGGTTGATGCTGCTGAAGGTTGTACAGAGCACAACATAGTCCTCCCGCACACCCCAACACAGAATAATTATGTCAACATGCTGAGATTGAGAAACCCGATTACAGAATTAAGGCTTAGGACTCCTGGAATGAATTTAATATTATTTTGGGCAAAATATCCCATAATTATGGAAAAAATGAAACAAATCATACTCACATCCTGTGACAGAATGTTTTGTACCTAATTATCTTCATAAAAATCATGGGTCTGTGGATTGTAGTATGGTTATCCTTTATTTTGTGACTTTATTTAAGTGAGTACATGGTATGTTTATCTTTGGGAGTCTGGGTTACCTCACTCAGGGTGATATTTTCTAGTTCCATCCATTTGCCTGCAAATTTCATGATGCCATTGCTTTTAACAGCTGAGTAATACTCCATTGTGTAAATGTACCACATTTTCTTTATCCATTCTTTGGCTGATGGACATCTAGATTTTTCCAGGTTCTTGCTATTACAAATAAAGCTTTTATGAAGATAGTTGATAAAGTATCCTTGTGGTAAGGTAGAGCATCCTTTGGGTATATGATCAATAGTGGTGTAGCTGGGTCTTGAGGTAGATCGAGTTCCAATTTTCAGAGAAACCACCATATTGATTTCTAAGGTGTACAGCCATACAAGTTTGAACACCCACTAGCAGTGGAGGTGGAGGAGTGTTTCTCTTGCTCCAAACCCTCTCCAGCATGAGCTGTCACTTGTGTTTTTGATCTTAGCCATTCTGACAGGTGTAAGATGGAATCTCAGAGTCGTTTATTTACATTTCCCTGATGGCTAAGGATCTTGAACATCTCAAGTGTTTCTCTGCCATTTGAGATTCTTCTGTTGAGAATTCTCTATTTAGATCTATACCCTGTTTTCTAATTGGATCATTTGGTTTGTTGGTGTCTAGTTTCGTTAGTCCTTGATATATTTTGGAAAATCAGCCCTCTGTCAGATGTGGGGTTAGTAAAGATCTTTTCCCATTCTGTAGGTTGCCATTTTGTCCTATTGACAGTGTCTTTTGCCTTACAGAAGCTTTTCAGTTTCGTGAGGTCCCATTTATTTATTGTTGACGTTAGTGCCTGAACAATTGATGTTCTGTCCAGGAAGTTGTCTCCTTTGCCAATGCGTTCAAGGGTATTCCCCACTTTTCCTTCTATCAGGTCTGGATGGGGAGGTGGGCATGGGACCAGGAGAGATCAGGGGAGGATGGAGGGAGAGAGTACTGGAAAAGACAACTAGAATCAGGGGCATCTCTGGGATGAGCTTGAAACCTAGTGTAATTGAAACTCCCAGGAATCTATGAGGGTGACCCTAGCTAAGACTCCTAGCAATGAGAGATACAGAGCCTGAACCAGCCATCTCCTGTAACCAGGCAAGACTTCCAGTGGAGGGAATGGAACCCCAACCCAACCACATTACCTCTGACCTACAATTTGTCCTGCCTACAAGATATGCTGGGACAAAGGTGGTACAGAAATTATGGGAGTGGCCACCCAATGAGTGGTCCAGCTTGAGACCCATACTAAGAGAGGGAGCTCACACCTGACACTACCTGGAGGGCCAGAACCCAGAGGCTGGATAGCCCAGGCACCTAAGGTAGAACCAAACATGACTGCCAAAAAAGAAAAAAAGTCAATGAAATGATTCCTAATGATGTTCTGCTGTACTCATAGATCGTTGCCTAGACCAACTGTCATCAGAGAGGCTTCACCCAGCAATGGATGAAGACAGATGCAGAGACCCACAGACAAACATTGGGCATACCTTGGCAAATCCTGTGGAAGAGGTGGAAGAAGGATTGTGGGAGCCAGAGGGACCAAGGGCACCATGGGAAAACACGCATAGTCAATTGTTCTGGTCTCATGGGGCTCACAGACACTGAACCACTAACCAGAAAACTTGCATGGCTAACCTGGGCCTTCTGCAGTTGTGTGGCTTGGTCTTCTTGTGGGACTCCTGGCAGAGGGAGCAGAGGCTGTCTCTGACTCTGTTGCCTGCTCTTGGGACCCTTTCTTCCTGCTGGGTTGCCTCATCTAGCCTTAATAGGAGAGGCGGTGCCTAGTCTTGCTGTAAGTTGATATGCCATGGCTGGCTCATATATGTGGGAGGCCTAAATGTTTCTGAAGGGAAGGGAAAAGGAGTGGATGGGGGCATGTGGGGGTGATTCAGGGAAGGACTGGAAGGAGAGGAAGGAGGAGGAGGGAAACTATGATTGGGCTAAGAAATTAATGAATTGATTAATAAAAATTTTTTTAAAGACAATTACAGTTTAATTGATGCAATGGAAATCTTTTCTGAGGGAAAGCACTCAGGAAAGTGTTCCATGGTGTATTATCCCATTCACTCAAAGTGGGTTCGGAGTGCTGAACACTGCCTGAGGATTGCAGCTGCAGACCCTCCAGCTTTGCTGTGTCTCACTCAGCCCTGAGTTTTCAAGGGAGTTACAGTTTGGATGCTGTTACCCCTGTCAGCCCTGAAAGATGGGATTCCAGTAGGAAGATCTGCTTATAGTAGAAGGAGGGGCCCAGTCTAGGGCTAGCTGGATCTCAGGATAGAAGATGGGATCCCTTCTGCTGGCATCTTCTGGAGGAACTAAAGACAGTCGTGCTTATACTCTGCACATCCACATTGAGCCCTCATGCAATGGGTTGTCTGGGGTTAGGACAGAATCGTCTTTGTGTAGACTCCTGTCTGCTTCTAATTTGTGTGGGAGGCTATGAGCAATGGGAGAGGAGTGTGTGAGTGGGGATGCTTGAGATATAAAAGTAGTCGATGAAGTCATGTGACCTAAGTCAGTCTGGGAACATCAAGTCACAATCCATTGAAAGGCTTTCTTTTTGTTCCCCAGGGGAGGATCCTGAAGAAGGATGGCCAGCTCTAGTTCTCAAGACATGGTCTGTGTAAGTTGACCTTTGTCTCTTTACATAGGGTGACTTTCAGGTTAGGTGAGTCTTTGCTGTCTTCTCTTGTGAAGCTTTCCAAGGACCTGAAGTCCTCCAGCCCAGTCTGCCCATTACAGTGAGGGTTGCAAGACCAGAGCACTTCCTGTCTGTGGCTCTTTCCTGCTGGTTCTGGAGTTTTCTTTGAATGCATCCCTGCACACCTGCTTTCTGCCTGGTCTGGGGTCAGGGAGGACTGTCGTTGCAGAGGAGGTGACAGTCTACAGGGAAGCAGGGTCTTTGGGGGTTTCAGAACGTTGAGGTGATGGTCTCCTTTGACTGCACTGGGACTCCTGATTGACATCTTTGGTGTTTTCAGGCTGATGACACAGGGTTTGAGAGTGAATGGCCTTGGTGCATGTGTGTGAGATAACCTGCTTGAGGGGCTTTAAGAGAGAGTTCAGTGATGAGAGGGAAAGGTCATCCAGGCTGTGATTGGGAGGGGGCTGTCGTCTCCAGAGTCCAGGAAGACCTGAGACACACTGTTCACCTTGAAAGTTTCTGTTTTTCAGGACAAAACCCATTAAACCTAATATGCCAGTAATGTGGACTTTTATATAATTTTTGGACTCTTATGTAGTTTACAAAAATCATTCTCGTGACAAAGAGTCTTTATGATATCATCTGATATCATAATAAACTCAAGGACTCACACCATTTCTTAGTATTTTACACTGAACCCTGATGACGTTTCTCTCTTGTGGGCTATAACTTGAAGGGTGTGGATGGAATGGAAATGCACATTTATTAGATGCGTAGGGTGCGTACCGTCATCCTTTACTGGGGGAGCTCGTGCAGCCAGGTACTTTGAGCATTTCCATGTCTTCTTCCTGTTCTTGAGTCCTTTCCCCTCTGATTTTCCATCTTGAATTCTTCCCCAGTTTCACTCTACTTGTGTTTGTGGTTTCAGGGGTCAGTGACATTCAGGGATGTGGCTGTTGACTTCTCTCAGGAGGAGTGGGCCTGCCTTGATGCTACTCAGAGGGTCTTATACAGGGACTTGATGTTGGAGACCTACAGCAACCTCGTCACAGTGGGTAAGGCCATCTGTCCCCGTGAAAGGGGGATGTGCTCTCTACACTTGGCTTCCCTCTCTCTGAATGAAAAGACAGGGCCATTTTCCTGTGGTAGCTGAAGCTGGTCTTGGTGGCCCATGGCTGTCATTCCTTTACTCAGAAGGCTGAAGCAGGATGATTGCTGTGAGTTCAAGGTCACCCTCAGGTACATAGTGAGTTCTAGGGTAGCCTAATCTATAGGGTGAGGCCCGGTTTAAAACAAAACTAAACAACAAACTAAATGAAATAAATAAGGAGACAAATAAATAGAATTAGTAACTAGAGAGATAGGTTGGTTAAGACAACTGGTTGCTCTTGCAAGAGCCTGGGTTCAATTCCCACCATGTATAAGGTACCTCAAAAACCATCGATAACTCCAGTTCCAAGGCATCTGGCATCTGATGGCCTCTTCTGGCCTTGATGGGCACCACGCACACGTGTAGTGCTCAGACATACATGCAGACAGACACTTAGATTAGGTTTTAATCAATAAAATTTTAAAACAAGTAGCTGAGTTTTTCTTCTCAAATTAACAATTAGAGATTTGTTGGGTTGAAAATAGGAGCTTCATGAAGCACCTGCCGTTTCCATACCCCTTGGAGATCCTCTCACTGAGCTCGAGTTTCAGTGAGAGACCCTGTCTCAAAAACTAAACTAGAGAGCAGTCTATGTGACCATCTTACACTGGTCTTTGGCCTCTACACACACACATAAATGAATACCTACTCGTACTTGTACACACACTCTTATGAACACATATACACCATATGTGCGCACATACACCACTGAGTAGAAGAGCCAATAGGATTCACTTACTAATGAATCAGTAGGATTGATTTAAAACAGAAGCGGTCACATTCTATTTTCTTCAGTGAATACTTCCTTTGCTTGGTTTGTTGTGGAAGTTTCAGGCTGTGAAGCTTGTCGCTTTCATTGAGCAAATCTATAAGATGGAATTGTAACTGTAAAAGAAGGCAACATAAATAGTAATACTGATAACAGTTTTCGTGGCTGGGGATAATAACTGTGGTAGAGCACTTGCCCAGCAAGTTCAAGGCCCTAGTTCAATCTCTATCATTATAAAGTGATAAATGGAAATTAAAAACAATAATAATTTTGTGTTAGTATAAGTCAGACAGTATTCAAAGTTTTTGAATATAGTGTTTAATATCAGTATCACCCCTATCCAAAAGATATCAACTCAACCTAAATAATAATGATAATTGATAATAATAATAATATAAGGCTTGGAATGTAACTCATTGTTAGAGTACTTTCAATAATAATAATGATAATAAAAAAATAATAATAAAATTATTTGGTTTTTTGAGGTCAGGTCTCATGTAGCTCAGGCTGGCTTTGGAGTTGCTATGACACTAAGGCTGACCTTGAACTTCTCATCTGTCTGCTTCCCCTTCTCAAGTGTTGTGATTTCAAGTGTGTGCCATCATGCCCAGTTTTTAGATGGGAAAATTGACCGTAGAATCCTAAATAAATGGCATTATTGGCGAGCTGCAGAGAAGGGGTTTACACTAGACAGTGTAGCCTAAGGGTTCAAGTTCTCCCCACTATATGTACTTTCCCCTTCAGTGACAAGCCCTTATCTGCACTTAAATGAGATTAAACCCTTTTCTGCAACAGCTGGTTTCTCACCCAGGTTCTCCTCTGAAGTCTTTCCTCAGTGTTATTTTGTCTCTTAGCGTATTTTATCTGTTTGCCAAGACAAGGGTCTTGCTCTGCAGCACAGATTGGCCCGGCTCATTCCCCACCTGCTGAACTAACAGGCATGGTCCACCATGCCAAACTGTATAGACCTTCGTAATAAATAAGTCTGTAGTTTTCAAAATCTGCACAGGCAGCTCATGGGGGCACACGCCTTTAATCCCAGCATTTCGGAGGCAGGGGCAGGCAGATCAAGGAAGTCCCAGGACAGCCTGGTCATCATATTGAGTTCCAGGTCATCCCGGGATAACTAGAGGGACCAAGTTTAAAAAGTCTCCACGTGTCATTTCTTCTTTCTTTTAAGCGGGAAGTTCCGTTTCCAAACCCAATCTGATCGCCTTATTAGAGCAGGAGAGAGAGCCCTGGATGGTTGTGAAGGAAGAAACAGACAGGCCCAGCCCAGGTGAGTAAGAGGAAGGCAGGTCTCCAGCATTGCCAGGCACAGCATGTGGTCGGAGAGTCGCCTCATGGCTGACACTGGGTTGACACACTTTCTTCAACTCGCCAAGGCCTGTGGAAGAACATGCCTGAGACCTGGGAAGGAAGTCAAGGTCATAGCAAAGGCTGTCACAGGGCCTTCTAGTTCATGAGTCACTAAGTTGTTCTCACCTTCTTCCCTCTTAGTGGAACAGTTACCCTTTCTACCATTTTAAACGTATCTTATTGGTTGTGTGTGTGCACACAGGTGTGCAAGTACCCAAAGAGGCCATAAGAGAATATCAGATCCCCTGGGGCTGGAGTACTAGAACCCAGGTCCTCTGGAAGAGCAGTCAGTGTCCCTAACCGCTGATCCAATGATAAGACAATTTGAACACCAGTGAATTCAGGAGCACAGTGAGGCATAGCAAATATTTTGATTGTATATCTTCATAGTCACTCTAATCAAGGTGTGATGGTGTGACCTATGCTTCTTACTGCAGCATTGGGAAGTGGAAAAGGCTGATCCCTTGTCTTGCTAACAACTCGGCCTACTTTACCTGTCAGGTGCCGGAATCCAGCTGCAGCGGGATTCTGATCCACAGGAAAGAGGTGTGAAGTTGGTGAAAAAGACCACCAGTTGTCTTTCAAACAGATGGCACCGGATAGCACAAGCTATCTTTATTTATACAAGTTCTGATGCATTCAAGCATGAACAGTTTGAATACATTTCTCTTTAATCATTTTCCAAGAATCATTAATAATTTAGTTTCTTTGCCTCTTTCCGACTCCCTTGACATCATTGACCTTTACCCCATATTATTAATTTTTATATTGGAAGCCAAATGATTATATCTAGCCAGGCACATCTTTTCCCAACTGTGCCCTAGACAACAGTAAACATGCAGTTATAAAATAAGAGATATTTAAACCCTTTGATTAGTTTTTAACAATGTGATACTTTTATATTTTTTGTAATCAGCTGAATGTATGATGCCATACCTATGATATTATTTTCAGGTGTAAGTCAATTTCTGAATAATCTGTTTGTGAACAACAGTTGTAATCCTATTCTTCATACATTCTCAAAATGGTAGTAATTACCTAACTCTTTAAATGATGGGACCAAGTTTATATTCTTCCTGGCAGTTTCTTTTTTTTTAATTAATTTATTTATCTTTCTATTATCAGCTTGATACAGTATAAATTCTTATCCTAATAGTGAAATGTTTGATTGAGGCTTGCCCAGTGATTGAGTAAAACCAAAACTTATTATAAGCCAGTCATCCTAGGGTCCCCCATGCTACATATATAGCCTCCATGGTTCTGTGGGTTGCAGTCTGATTGTTCTTTGCTATATATCTAGGATCCACTTATGAGTGAGTACATACCATGTTTGTCCTTCTGGGTTTGGGTTACCTCACTCAGGATGATATTTTCTAGTTCCATCCATTTGCCTGCAAATTTCATGCTGTCATTGTTTTTCTCTGCTGAGTAGTATTCCATTGTGTATATGTGCCACATTTTGTTAATCCATTCTTCAGTTGACGGGCATCTAGGTTGTTTCCAGGTTCTGGCTATTACAAATAGTGCTGCTCTGAACATAGTTGAGCATGTATCTTTGTGGTATGATTGAGCATTCCTTGGGTATATGCCCAAGAGTGGTATGGCTGGGTCTTGAGGTAGTTCGATTCCTAATTTTCTGAGAAACCACCATACTGATTTCCACAGTGGTTGTACAAGCTTGCATTCCCACCAACAGTGGAGGAGTGTTCCCTTTGCTCCGCATCCTCTCCAACATTGACTGTCATTAGTGTTTTGATCATTGCCATTCTGACAGGTGTAAGGTGGTATCTCAGAGTCATTTTGATTTGCATTTCTCTGATGATTAAGGATGTTGAGCATTTCTTTAAATGTCTTTCAGCCATTTGTGATTCTTCTTTTGTGAATTCTCTGTTTAGCTCTTTAGCCCATTTTTTAATTGGATTGTTCAGTATTTTGATGTCTAGTTTCTTGAGTTCTTTATTTGCTTTGGAGATCAGTCCTCTGTCAGATGTGGGGTTGGTAAAGGTCTTTTCCCATTCTGTAGGCTGTCTTTTTGTCTTATTGACCATGTCTTTTGCCCTACAAAAGCTTCTCAGTTTCAAGAGGTCCCATTTATTAATTGTTGTGCTCAGTATTTGTGCTGCTGGTGTTATATTTAGGAAGTGATCTCCTGTGCCAATGTGTTCAAGTGTACTTCCTACTTTCTCTTCTATCAAGTTCAGTGTAACTGGATTTATGTTGAAGTCTTTGATCCACTTGGACTTGAGTTTTGTGCATGGTGGCAGATATGGATCTATTTGTAATCTTTTACATATTGACATCCAGTTATGCCAGCACCATTTGTTGAAGACTTTCTTTTTTCCATTGTATAGTTTTGGCTTCTTTGTCAAAAATCAGGTTGTCATATGTGCATGGATTAATGTCAGGGTCTTCAATTCAATTCCATTGGTCTGTATGTCGGTTTTTATACCAGTACCAAGCTGTTTTTATTACTATAGCTTTATAGTAGAGCTTGAGGTCAGGGGTGGTGATGCCTCCAGAGGTTGCTTTCTCATATGGGATTCTTTTAGCTATCCTGGGTCTTTTGTTTTTCCTTATGAAGTTGAGTATTTTTCTTTCCAAGTCTGAAGAATTGTGTTGGGATTTTGATGGGGATTGCATTGAATCTGTAGATTGCTTTTGGTAAGATTGCCATTTTTACTATGTTAATCCTACCTATCCATGAGCATGGGAGATCTTTCCATTTTCTGATATCTTCTTCAATTTCTTTCTTTAGAGATTTAAAGTTCTTATCAAAAAGTTCCTTCACTTGTTTAGTTAGTGTTATCCCAAGGTATTTTATATTATTTGTGGCTATTGTAAAGGGTGATGTTTCTCTGACTTCTTTCTCAGCCCTTTTATCATTTGTGTATAGGAGGGCTACTGATTTTTTTGAGTTGATCTTGTAGCCTGCCACTAGAATTTTTGGGGTCACTTATGTATACTGTCATATCATCTGCAAATAGTGAAAGTTTGACTTCTTCCTTTCCAATTTGTATCCCTTTGATCTCCTTTTGTTGTCTTATTGTTCTAGCTAGAACTTCAAGTACTATATTGAATAAATATGGGGAGAGTAGACAGCCTTGTCTTGTTCCTGATTTTAGTGGAATCGCTTTGAGTTTCTCTCCATTTAATTTGATGGTGGCTGTCAGCTTGCTGTAAATTGCCTATATTATGTTTAGGAATGTTCCTTGTATTCCTGATCTCTCTAAGACCTTTATCATGAAAGGGTGTTGGATTTTGTCAAAGGCTTTTTCAACATCTAATGAGATGATCATGTGTTTTTTTTCTTTCAGTTTGTTTATATGGTGTATTACATTGACAGATTTTCATATATTGAACCATCCTTGCATCCCTGGGATGAAACCTACTTGGTCATGGTGGATAATTTTTTTGATGTATTCTTGGATTCGGTTTGCCAATATTTTGTTGAGTATTTTTGCATCAATGTTCATGAGGGAGATTGGTCTGTAATTCTCTTTCTTTGTTGCATCTTTGTGTGGTTTGGGTATCAGGGTAATTGTAGCCTCATAAAAAGAGTTTGGTAGTGTTCCTTCTGTTTCTATTGTGTGGAACAATTTGAAGAGTATTGGAATTAGTTCTTCTTTGAAAGTCTGGTAGAATTCTGTGCTGAAACCATCTGGTCCTGGGCTTTTTTTGGTTGGGAGACTTTTGATGACTTTTTCTATTTTTTTAGGGGTTATTGGTCCATTTAAATGTTTTATCTGGTCTTGATTTAACTTTAGTATGTGGTACCTATCCAGAAAATTGTCCATTTCTTTTAGATTTTCCAATTTTGTGGAGTACAGGTTTTTGAAGTATGACCTGATGATTCTGTGGATTTCCTTATTGTCTGTTGTTATGTCTCCCTTTTCATTTCTGATTTTGTTAATTTGGATGTTCTCTTGCCTTTTGGTTAATTTGGCTAGGGGTTTGTTTATCTTGTTGATTTTTTTCAAAGAACCAACTCTTTCTTTCATTGATTTTTTTTTGTATTGTTCTCTTGGTTTCTATTTCATTGATTTCAGCCCTCAATTTGATTATTTCCTGGCATCTATTTCTCCTGGGTGAGTTTGTTTCTTTTTGTTCTAGAGCATTCAGTTATGCTGTTAATTCATTGGTATGAGATTTCTCCATCTTCTTTATGTGTGCATTTAGAGCCATGAATTTTCCTCTTAGCAGTGCTTTCATAGTGTCCCATAAGTTTGGGTATGTTGTACTTTCATTTTCATTGAATTCTAGGAAATCTTTAATTTCTTTCTTTATTTCTTCCTTGACCCATTGATGTTTCAGGTGGGCATTATTCAGTTTCCATGAGGTTGTAGGCTTTCTATAATTTTTGTTGTTGTTGAAATCTAACTTTAAGGCATGGTGGTCTGATAAGATACAAGAGGTTATTCCAATGTTTTTGTATCTGTTGAGATTTGTTTTGTGACCAAGCATGTGGTCAGTTTTTCAGAAGGTTCCATGGGGTGCTGAGAAGAAGGTATATTCTTTTGTGTTAGGATGGAATGTTCTGTAGATATCTATTAAGTCCATTTGAGTCATAACATCTGTTAGGTCCTTTATTTCTTTGTTAAGTTTCAGTCTGGTAGATCTGTCCATTGGTGAGAGTGGTGTGTTGAAATCTCCCACTACTAATGTGTGGGGTTTGATGTGTGTTTTAAGTTTTAGTAATGTTTCTTTTATGAATGTGGGTGCCTTTGTATTTGGGGCATAAATGTTCAGAATTGAGATTTCATCTTGGTGGATTTTTCCTGTGATAAATATGTAATGTCCATCCTGATCTCTTTCGATTGATTTTTAGTTTGAAGTCTAGTTTATGAGATATTAGGATAGCTACACCAGCTTGCTTCTTAGGTCCATTTGCTTGGAAAGCCTTTTCCCAGCCCTTTACTCTGA